ACTAAAATTTCTTCTTAGTCCAAGACTGAGGGTTAATAATTTTTCACCGAAAGTACGAATGTTTGTTCCATTTGCTGCGTAAAGTGATCGTGAATATAATTCCTTCTCTTTGGTCTTAGGCAAAACAGAAATATCCGCTCCGGTGTCTATCAAAAATCTCAATCTCGTTGAAGAATCTTCAATGAACAAGCGACAATTTTGCAAGCCATTGTCATTAGTCGCCATCAATGACTGGCTGACTCGTTTTTTTTGTTATCACTCAATTTGAAATTGCATGGTTTCACACATTTTGTGGCTTTCTCTTTGAAATTTTTATGGTACCAGCAAAATCCAGATGGTGATTTCGAACGAGATCTAGAAGAATGACTGGCACAGGCACATTGTTTATCTGCTTTCTGACCTACCTCTAGCTTTTTTAAGGCGGTGAGGATCTGATCCAAGGTATTGTCGCGGATATGATCCTGAGATTTCACAGAATGAATTTCGTTTTCGGAACATTCCAGCATTCCATCTGCAATCTCAGGTAATTGATCAGGTTTGACAATCTTCTTCAACCCTCTCAAATTTCTCTGTATTTCCAGAGGTAGTTTTTCCAACCAAATATGAATGAGTATGTCAGTATCAATTTTGTTATTCGCTAATCCTTTGAGTTCTCTGAACAAATGAGTAGGTTTTTTATCACCTAATTGAAGCCCGCTCAAAATTGATTTGATCTTGGATTCTTCGCTTGTCTGAAAAATGGTTATGAGCTGTTTCTTCAGATCAGAATATTTTTGTACGGAATCAGATCGCATTATATTGGTGACTTGACTGATCACCGTACTATCTAATGCATCAATAACTTTATGATACTTAATGCGATCACACGTTATCCCAGCACTACTGAAACGTTCTTCAGCATTGATGAACCAAATGTCTGGTTCTTTTTTCCAAAAAGGAGGTAAAGTGAATTTAGATGGGAACTTGTTCTCCCTTCGAGGAATATTCAAAAAATCATTAGATTCAGGTTGTTCTGAAGATGACTGATGACTTGTAGATGGAATATAACTTGATGTGGATGAACTGGAAGTAATCTTATTTTCTAAGAGAGTCATTCGTTGTTTCATTTCTTCCTGGTACGTAGAAAACTGTGACGAAATTCCTTCAATTAAACGAATGAAATCAATAGAAGTAAAAGAACTCTCAGTAGTTTCCTGCTCGCTATCTTTTAGTAGGACTGAGCAGTCAAACTCTTTGCTGTTCCCATATTGTTCGTTGATAATCGTCTCTAGCCTTATCAACTTATCTGCTTTGGTTCCACATAAATCAACGTTGAGTTTTTTGAGAATTTTTGTTAAATCTTCATTGGTTAGGTCATTGATTGACTTTTTAACCATCTTGTAATATCAGAATAATAGTAATCTGTTCTTATCGGGGTCACCAATTTGTAGATCCAATTGATATCAATAATGACAAGAAACTATATTTTATTGACTGCTGAATCTATCAACATGACATATCAGCCAACGTTAAAACTATACAGAGTATGATATATGTAAGTTCACCACAGTGTCTTAGGCGAACTAAGAATTTATCAAATTTCTCATCATCTGTCTGTTTCATTAATCTAAAAGTATATCGTTCAAATATTTTACTTTGTTTTGGTAGAAAATACCCGTCCAACTTCTGCAGAGCTGCATCAAAAACATCAACGTTCTGATTATCTTCTACAGGGCTAGGTAAACTATAGAATATCTCTTGTAAGGCTATACCCCCTGAGTGCAACAGAATGGCCTGTTTCTTTACTCCATCAGTGATATCTGAGGCTGTTAAGTAGATTTGAAGGGCTCTCTTCCACTTTTCCCATTTTGTAGCCAGAGAAAATGGGTCTCCTTCGCATTGAAATGGTTCCAGACCTGGCATATTCGCCATTTTCTATAATACCAACGATACAGAGTTAGTGTTAGGTCGTGAACTTATCTTTCAATGATGTCAAAATGAAATATGTTGTTATAATTTTTATTCATTATTATTTTGAAATCTCTGGAATACACTTCTTGCTTCCCAATACTTATAAATATACTTATGCCTTTCCTGAATCCTGTCATAGGATTTTCCATTAGTTTTATTTACTGAGACTTTTTCTCACTGAGTTTCATAACTCATTTTGTTCTGTACAAGCCGTTTGCATGGGCTTCTCGAGTAGGTACTCAATTTCGTAATCAAGCTTTTCAGCTTACAAGGCTACTCGAACCTTTTTTTTTCCCCGAACCATTTGGTTCATTATCAAGCCTTTCAGCTTATAAGGTTACTCAAACCTTTTTTTCCGAACCGTTTGATTCGTCATCAAGCCTTTCAGCTTACAAGGCTACTCGAACCTTTTTTTTTTTTCCGAACCGTTCGATTCGTCAACAAGCCTTTCAGCTTACAAGGTTATTCAAACCTTTTTTTTTTTTATTTGAGATCTTTGCCTCATAATATCCGAGCCTTCTGACTCATTAGTTAAGTCTATTCAACGCATGGATAAATCCTTGACAGGTTTCACTTTTCACCACATAAATTTCGAATTTCCACTCACCTTAATGGTAGGAAACAATATCACTACACACTTATTATACTTTTATTCTCGTCGCCAATGTAATAACTTGCACTTTTGTAATAAAACACTGTTTGCAGTAATACTTTTATTACGGTCTTCACTGTCCGAATGTCAAACATCTACTGGTCATTTTAATCGGTTACGCATCCCTGCTCGGCATTCGGTGATAACAGATATAAGTTGAATTAGTCATATTAGTCATATACTACCGATGGGTACAGTTCAGCTGTGATTCACTTGAACAGTGATATCCGAATAAAGCGGTTGTATCATGTTGTATGTAAAAGCATTGTGTTTCATGCATACGATAAATAGGTTAGTTAATTCGTGTATTCTACAGGACCCCTTAAAAACCCCTTTTTTCCCAATAATTAAAAAAATATATAAAATTAAAGTCATGGAGGTTACTTTGTGCTTTCCTTATATTTTAATCATATGATTGAGATAAAAGTCGAGATTTTGTCTTGAAAATCGAAATTTCGAGGTAAAAGTCGAAATTTTGATACTAAAATGAAACTTCGAGGTTATAAAAAAAAAAAATTGTAATCACAAATTTCGAAAAGAATATTGAAAACTGGGTGTTCCGTTTAAAAAATAAATGTGTGGTTTGTCACGTTTTTAGGAATCAACCAGTTAAACTTCTGATAAGGGCTGCGAAAGAGCTTCAAAACGGCATTCAACTTGCGTATATTGTTTTTTTTTTTTTTTTCGTTGAAAAATATAGGGGTGAGCGGCTTCGATGAAGAACCCTGTTACGTAAGAAAAACATTTGAAGAGACCTAACCCCTTAAAAACCTGACCTTTTCATGAAGTTTTTGGATGTATGACAAATTGATATTCATCATACAGATGTCCAAAACTTATCCCAAATATAGCAAATACCGTTCTATACTCTCACATCCTTAGTAAAATGAACTATCTCATAAATATTTGGGGTTTATGTTCCAAGAATAATTTTAACAAAATATCTGTACTATATAGAAAAGCATTGAAAGTACTGTATCATCTTCCATATGACACCCCATCAAATCAACTTTATGAAGAAACAAATACATTTTCTTTGGAAGAGCACTATCTGATAAATACTCCCAAAATTTATTTTGAAATTATTAGCAAACACCAAAAATCTAACTTCATATTGGTAAGGAATTCTCAAATCCATGAACATCATACTAGACGATATGACTCGTTTCATTTTGATGCTGCTAATTCTACACTTGGTCAGGTTAGGTTAGGCTAGGTTAGGTTTAACTTTATGAAGAAACAAATACATTTTCTTTGGAAGAGCACTATCTGATAAATACTCTCAAAATTTATTTTGAAATTATTAGCAAACACCTCAAATCTAACTTCATATTGGTAAGGAATTCTCAAATCCATGAACATCATACTAGACAATATGACTTGTTTCATCTTGATGCTGCTAATTCTACACTTGGTCAAAAAAAGTTCACTCACGGAGCTATCTCAAAATTCAATTAATTACCTGATGATATCAAATCAAATCAAAATTCAAAATTGAAGTCAACATATCCTCTTGCAAAGAGAAAATCAAATCTGAGTGAATGATTTCTCATTCACTTATTGATTTCATCATGTCATAATGTACTTTTCATGAGCTTTTTGTTTTATTATTTTTTTTATTCTGTTGTTTATTTCAATAACTATAATTTAATTTTTCTACATTCATGCAAAAAACAGAACTTTATTGAACAATATTTAGTGGAAAAAGAAGTTCTTTATTGCACTTAGTGCAATAAAGTTTTTATTGCACTCATCTGTCATTCTACTTCAACGTGCTTCATCATGACAAACATTTTCTATAATGCAACTGTGGTTATAGAAACGTAAGTCAAAAATTAATTCTGACAATTAACAGAATTGTACCTAGTGCCGCACCTCAATAAATCATTTTTGCTTTTTGCATGAACGTAGAAAAAATGTTGTATGCAACTCGTGCAAAAATTGTTTATTGCACTCGACGTGTTGTCCAACTCGGCCTAACGGCCTCGTCGGACAATTTCACGTCGAATGCAATAAACATTCACTTTTTGCACTTGTTGCATAAATAACTATTGATAACGCATGAATAATCTCATACCAGATATGAATCTGTCTGATTATTCATGTTATTCCATTGTAAATGTTAATGAATATATTTATATTTATATGAGATGCAATGTAATGTTTACAGCAAAGAATAAAATGAATAAAATATTATTATTATTATTATTATTATTATACAGGACGTGGAAACAAAATTTGAAATGAGAAAACCCAATCACTAAAGTTTTCATCGTTCAAATTTGAACCCCTTGATTGGTTATGAAGGTATTGAAAAAGAATATTCTTCATGTTCATAATATATCAGAATATTCCTTTTCAATAATTTCTTAAAGTTGATGAAAATATAATACTGTAGGTTCTCATTCCACCAAAAAGTATGCAGCAGCGCCTCAGAGACGAAGCGAAGAGCGCAAATTCTGTTCTGGAACAAGTGAAATACCGAGCAGAGTGGCTGAAATACCAGGAAGCGCAAAAAGCTAAAGAAGAAGAAATTCTGGAAAGGGAGCGAGGTAAAAATATTTGGAGGTTCATGAAGCGGGTTCATATTTCGATCAAAAATCTTACCTACTCACCTATTTTTGAAACTGAAACTGTCTCCATTGTCTGACTGATCAGGTGCTTTCATTTCGACACCCTGTAATGATTACCAAATATCTCAAATATGTGCAATTATGGTGTAATAATATAGAGGGTTTGGGATTTGATTGTCAATATTTGAAGAACTCTAAGCTGTGCATGTTTTTAGGCAAATCCTTATAATATTCCCGTTAGGTTCCATTTCAGTTTTGATATAAGAAAATGAGAATGCTAGAATATAAAGGCGTACATTAAAAGTTTTCAAGACGGTCCGTCATGCTCAAACCGTTTAGTAAAAAAGTAAAAATACGAATATAAGAACAATCAATTCCATTTAAAAAAAAAAACATTTTGTGATGAATTTTTTGATGAAAAATTGTCTTTCACTTGTACTAATAAAACATATGTTTTGTACAATAAAAATTATTGTACTTATAAAAATTTATTGATTGTACTTATTTATCTTTATTTTGCCTATGAGCTGCTCTAATTTCGGGAGGTCGTGAGTAAGTGAAAGCTGTTAGCAAATCTGAATCCTTTTTTAGATAATTACTAGATAATATGAGATAAGATATACGTAAGATAAGATAAATTAGATAAGGTAAGATAAATGAGCGCCATGTATTTTATTCCTGGTTAAAATACAAAAACCAACAATCTATGCAAGAAGAACAGTAAAACAAATTCACAAGCTTAACAATTTAATTTCATGTGAAATTGACTATGTATTTACAAGAAAATATATATATACAAAAATGTTGCAAAGTTTTGATTGAAATGAACTTGGGACTTGTTTTCGAGCAATGAGGGACACTTACTCCCATCGAACTTCTTCCTGAAGAGTTTCCTGAATTTCTGGATGGTTCTTTTCCCTCCTGTCGGACCTTGACATCTCCTTGGTGAGTGAGTTCAACTACTCAGTTCATCGAACTACTTCCCCACCAGGTGAACTTCGGTTAACTCGTCTGTCCCAGGAGGTTTCCTTCTCTGGAAGTCTTGCAAATCCACTGGATAATGTTGCAGGAAATCTTCGTTTCTTGCTGCTGTGCTAAAAGCAATAGAGCGAACAGAATCTGTCTGATACATGATTTTAGAAGATCGTGAAACCTCAATGGAGTGTCAAAAGTGCCATCAGACTCAAAACAAGTCTTGCAAGTTCTTCAGAATTTTACAAAACTGATAATAACCAGTAAAGATAAAGTGACCATATATACAGATATTCATCAGGAAGTAATATATACAATGATATACAATATAGGGAAAGATAAGATAAAATAAGATAAGATAATATTTAACAATAAGAAGAGAATTGCAAATTTGACAAACATCCATCCTAGAGATAATGAAAGACACATTGTATAAGAAAAAATCAATATTACGCAAAAATAGAAATGAGATACTAGATAGAATCAGATATACGATAGAATAAAAGATAGACGGTTAAGATACTGAGATTTATTCGGAATTGTTTGAATTCAATTAATTAAGAAAAAGATATATTGACTAGCAGATAAGTGAATGGCATCAAGTTAAGTAAATAAGATATTTAAGATATTGAAGTTTATTTCTATTTGAAAAGGTAGGTAGCTTTTAATCTTGCAGATAAATCAAATTAATTATTCAATCGAACTTATAATCTTTATGAAACACGATTTTCTAGCCAACAGAGTGGATTTACATGTTCTTCAGTGAGCAAGCAATATTTTACAACAGATATGACATATAGTCTTGATTCATAAAAGTTTGCTACTCACCTCAGAACGTAGTCAATCCTGGATTCAGCTCAGAAAATCTTGTTTCCTCAGACTATAGATATTCAGTCAGTTCAGTAGTTAGGTCAACAAGGCTTTTAATTCAAGGGTTCAAAAAACACTCACTGGTGTCGCTAGTGGCGCTAGTGTCGATGTGGCTGCGCTCTGTACTGGGCGGCGGCAAATTCAAATATTGGATGGTGACAAATTCAAATAGTGGATGATGGTGGCGATTTCGAGTAATGGATGGTGATTTCGATGGATGAATATTTGGAATTAAAAAAAAGCTGGTCGGGTGTGCTCTGCGCGAGGATTCGAACCTCGACCGACGGGCTGTGAGCCCGAAACGCTACCATCGCGCCACACCACTAGACGGGAAAGTTTACGAGTTGTGAGAATGATACAGAGATTGGCACAGTGGCACAGGCACAGACTGCTAGCGAGTGCTAGCGAGCGATGGGACAGGGTTGCCAGACGTTGGAAATACTCGGTGTGCTACGTTGTCGGACGTCAGAATAATTCGGGGTGCTACGTAATACATAATTGCCGTTTTGGCGATGGCGTATGACGTTCGACATATGACGTATGACTTTTGACAGATGACGTTTGACGGAATCGAGGATGAAAAAATGAAATAAAATTATCGGTGAAAAAGTTGTTTTTTTATTAAATAATTCAGTAACATCATTTAGGTATCAAATTATCGAACCATTTGTATAAAATATCAACGTTGCGAAGGCTGCAATTGAAGGATTCTCGACGAATGTGATGCATACAGGATGTGATGGTGTTGTTGTTATCGAAAGTTGGAACGATGTACCAGGAATCGTCATATTGCTCCAAATTCACGACTCTTGCATGTACATTGAATGTTGCTAATTTATCGTCCAGGAACTCCTTTTTTTGATGACCTCGCACATAGATGATATCGATGTCACTCAGCTTATCCTGAAGGATATCATTGAGTAAATTGTATGCCACAAATCCGTTAGAATACCTCAACCCATGAATGTTCTTTTCCAAGAAACAAGCGCCGGTTCGGTCTTCTTTGCTGAGAGAAGAGAAGGATTTGTATGGAAGTAGTAGATAATTACTACATTGAACTCCAATTTTGATAGCAATCTCCTTGGGGCGGAATTCATGCTCGATAATGAACCCTTGAATGTCTATGAACGCTACTCTCATGATGCTGGTCGAACTCAAACTGAATGACAAACTGAGATTCAATTCCACTTCTTGATAATTTCACTGAGTGGGAGGTGCTCAATGATGTTATCATGGATGATGATACAATAGGCTCGAGTGTTGGCAGGAAATCCTTGGGATGCTTCAATTTCAAGTTTGACATCGACAGTGGAGCTTTTGACACTTTCGTCTCGTCGCGAACAATCGATAACGAAAAGAGGTTGTTTATTGGCAAACTCGGGGTAGCCTAGGAGCGGAGTGTGTTGGGAGGTGTTTTTATAGCTATATCCAAATTGCGTATAGTTGAAGTACGCCTGTGGAAAGGCTCCTTTATCGAAGGCCAATTGCATCTTCTCCTTTGGATAACTTTCCCCGTTGAGAGTTAATGTGATATTCGTTATGTTTGCGTGATTGAAAATCGTGGGATCAGTATTAACTTTAGTCAGATCATGATCTGTTTGAAAGCAAACGATGCAATATCTAGGACTTTCGAGAAACGAAGATGTCTTGACGGCCCATATTTCATTGGTGGCGCCTGTCGTGAGAGAAGGCAACATATGCAATTCCCATTTTCTGAAGGGTATCAGGATGGGAGTGTCGGCTTTGATGGCCTTCAAAAGTTGCAATTTGATTTGATCGTTCGGAAATAGTCTTTTCACTTTGAGTTCCACGTTTTCGATTTCCAATTGTACTTTCGTGGGTACAACAGCGGTGCCAACAGCATTTTCGGTGATTTTGAAGCAGTTGTTATCGTTTCCAGCTCTCACCAAACGAATGGAATGTTTACCATATGAGACACATTCATAATCGTTGAAAATATTCAGCAGATGCTTCAATGGGATGAACATACTAAATGCCAAACTTGCTGCATTTATGACATCAACGTTATTGGGGTAGGTCCATCCTGCTATAGCCAATTGTTTCGTATCTTCAGCACTGTAGCACAAATAACCTCTGACAGTGCTCACAGTACCAACATCACGTACTGATTCCAATTCCTTGCCATTCTGATCATAACTGATGGATTGAAACATATAGGCACCGGCATTATTGACGAAAGCTACATGTCCAGCACCTTCAGTTCTCGTAACTTTTCCACTGATGTGTAAGATACTTTCATAGAGAGCATCGAAAGCATCAGACTGATTGATGTTGATTTCTATGACATCATTATTGCGAAACGACTTGACGTAAGGGTAGTATGTTCTCCATTCGACCTTTTGTATGGACTCGTCGACGTGAGGCTTTCGGAATATGTTGAACACTTGAGAGGATAACATGATAGCCGAGTGACTTGAGAAATGCTATATTCCGAGTACTGAGTGGGCGGCGGGCAATGTGGTTGATGAATGTCTTCTTGAAGACTGAAGGAGCAGGAACGGAGGTGCGACTCTTATAAACACTCAGGACCATAATTTTTTCAGTTCCAATCGGATG